ATCAGTTTCAGCAAATGCAATTTCTGTCTTCCCTACCTAGAGAGTCAGCTATTAAATTCCAGTTCCATATTATCATCTGATAGACCAAGTTATGCTGTAGGGAAAAGTCATACCAACATCTGTGCCTCAAAGACCAAAGGTTTATTTCTCTCTTGTGCACTGAACATCCACTGTACCCAGCCAGGACACCCTACATCATAGTCATTCAGAGTGAGAAAGCAGACGCATCTTGAACATTGCCAGTCACCATCAATGCAAAGAAGAACTCTAGAGGGTAGTGCTCAGTCACTTAGCCACGTCCGACTCTTTGCAATCACCCCATGGACTATAGCCGACCAGGCTCCTCTGTTCATGTGATTTCCTAGGCAAGAGTACTGGAGTGGGTTGTCATTTCCTTCTCCAGGGGATCCTCACGACCCAGGGATTGAACCCAAGTCTCTTGCGTCTCCTGCACTGACAGGTGGATTCTTTACCACTGAGTCACCTGGAAAGCCACCAGTCTGTGATTCATGACCCCCTGCCAGCAACTTAGCAGCAGCAGCAGCCAAAGAAGTGATTCCCAGGAGTTCCTCTCACAGCCATTGGCCAGTACTAGTGACATGGCCTCACCTTACCAACAGGGGCCGGGAAAACACAGTCCTGGAAGGTGTAGTCCTACCACATGTCTGGAAAGGTGGGCCGAAATACCTGGAACTGTCACTGCCTGTTACCCACCACCCTCTGCTCAGCTTCCCCCTGCGCCCCAGGCAAAGTTGCTGGGTCACCTCCAGCCTTCTCAGGGGCATTTTGTGTGTTTGTTGGTCATGACAATGATCACAGCGCCTTGGCATTATATTTTCTTGTCTTTCCATCTCTTTCATGGGGCCGATTGTTTCTCAAAGATAGGGACTAGGTCATCAGAAACACTTGGTATGCAGAGGCATTTGACCATATATATCCCCACAGTAAGAGCCCAGGTCCTTACGATGGTTCACAAGGCCTTCTCTGATCTGGCCCCCACTCCTTCTCTGACCTCACCCCCACAGCCGCTCCCTCATTCACTGGCCTCCAGTTTCACTGTCACTCAAACTCACCAGGCCGACTCCTGCATCAGAGCCCTCCTTCTTGATGTTCCCTGTGCCTGGAATGCTCTTCCTCAGCTGTCTGCTAAGCTCATTACTCACTTCCTTCAGGTCTCTGCTGAGCGGTCACCTCCTGGGACCAGCCTTCCCTGGCCAGGCTCCATAAGATGTCCATGTGACTCTACTGGCCTGGTACCTCCGCTGTTCCCTTCTCTTTTGCTTTCCTTCATTGCATTTACCACTTGCTGACACAGCACACACAAATGAATGTTACATCATCATGTATTAAAATATCATATAATATGCACTATATCATATATTACGTATGATACACAATGTAATTGTGGGTATTGAAGTGTTGTTTGTCCTCCCCCTGCCACTCCTTCTCCCTACACACACACTTAAATATAACTTCTGCGAATAAAGAACCAGTGCAATAGTAGGTACTCAATAAATATCTGTCAAAGGAATGAATGATAAAAGAACAATATCTTCAGATCTATCACTTCTCTGGAAAAGAATGCTAAACTCCTCCCTCTCCTATGACAGGATTTTGAGTACCTTCAGCATCCTCACCACCCAGAAGTCATCAACAGTGAATGCAGGACAGAGCAAAATAGCCCCCTGCTCGGCCTAGTCTGGGCTTCCCAGGAGGCTAAGTGGTAAAGAATCTACCTGTCAAGCAGGAGATGCAAGTTCGATCACTGGGTTGGGAAGATCCCCTGGAGAAGGAAATGGCAACCCACTCCAGTATTCTTACCTGGAAAACCCCATGGACAGAGAAGCCTGGTGGGCTACAGTCCATAGAGTGGCAAAAGAGTCAGACACAACTCAGTGACTAAACAACAGCCTGGTCTATCTGTGCTTAGTCACTGAGTCAAGTCAGACTCTTTGCAACCCTTTGGACTGTAGCCTGCTGGGCTCCTCTGTCCTTGGGATTTTTCAGGCAAGAACACCGGAGTAGGTTGCCATTTTCCTCCTCCAGGGGATCTTCCCAACCCAGGAATAGAATCCAGTTCTCATGTCTCCTGTGTCTCCTGCACTGCAAGCGAATTCTTTACTCACGTAGGTATCAAGGAAGTCCCATAGTCTGTATTGCAACTAATGAGGCATGACTCTGTAAATCAACTATACCTCAATAAATAAGTAAATAAATATATACACAAGTAAATAAATAAATAAAGCCTGAGTCTAAATAAAGCTTTGAAAGTAACAGCAAATCACACTGTTGACTAATTCATAGTCAGTTTGGTTATTGACGAAAGTCTTGCGTTTTTCACAGTTAAAACTCTACTTTTCTCTCTACATATGATTTTGTAGTTGTTGCTTTAGACCCTTTTAATTTTCCTGTCACCGATCTTCCTTTTCATTTCTTTCACTTGCTTATTGAGTGTCTACTCTGTGCAAAAAGCTATGTTAAGTGCTATGGATGTTACATGACAATCTTACAATTCTTAGGAAAAAAAGCTGTTCAGCAATATCAACATGGATCAGACACCCCAACTCTAGTTTAGCAAATGAGGTAGCTAAGACTCTTAGCCTTAAGTGTAAATGACTTTTATCAGAAGCTTTCAATGATATAAGGGCAGATGCCACTCCAAGGATGCAATGCCTAGAGCATCTGAAAATGAGAAGCCTAGAATGCCTCAGAAAGAAGGGCTTGAAAAGAGATTTGAGTCATGAGGGCAGTTTGGTTCAGACATGTCACTCCATCTATCCTTAAGGTTAGCTCACCTCATCTGATGTAGCCAGGGGATAGCCACATCTCCCATCATTCCAAGAACCTCACACTTCTTTGAACCAGGTCATGGTAAGGTTGAACTTTTCACTGTCAAATGATGGAGGGGATTTCTCACATGTTCCAGTGATTTCAAGGGAGTCCTTGGATAGAGGAAGAACCAGGCAGTCTGGCTCTAGAGTCTGGAATCGTAATAGCTCTACTCTGCTCTGCTTCCTCTTCATATTGGAAATGAAGATTTTAGTCTAACATGTAACATAGAAAATGTAATATTGGAAATGGTTTTCATAATAGTCTCTAATACAGATTACTCTTAATAAAAGCAACCCTCAGAAATTGTCCAGTTGAACCAAAATTGAAGAGAGTAGCGAATAACTTGAGGATAATGCAAAGATATCAAATGAGTTGGAGAATGACTCAGCCTTTTGTTCACCGGGCATTTACTCACTAATTCACCTGTTTATCCATCCTTCCACGTATCCACCCACTTATTCATTCAACAACCATGACATTAAGCACTTTTGCTGTCCTACACACATATTAAATACTGTGGATAAAATGTGCATTGCGTGCTCACTCAGTCATGTGACCCCATGGACTGCAGCCCACCAGGCTCCTCTGTCCATGGGATTCTCTAGGCAAGAGTCTGGAGTGGTTGCCATTTCCTTCTCCAGGGGATCTTCCTGACCCAGGGATCAAACCACATCTCCTGTGTCTCCTGCATTGGCAGATGGATTGTTTATCCACTGAGCCACCTGGGAAGCCTGTGGATAAGATATAATCTGACCTAAATTGACTTAGCAGTTTGGGTCCAGTGTGGGGAGGTAGGAGGTGGGGCTGGCAGGGGCAGAAGAAAAGGAAATTCATGGTCTAGTGTGGCAATGCTCTCAGAGAGGGTTTATAAGGAGTCGGGGATGATCTTAGCTGGTGCTCGGGATGTTCCTTAGCCTCCTGAGGGAACAGGAATAAAAAAGTGAGAGCAGAATGCTTCATGGAGGAAGAAACACTGGCTTTAGTCCTAGCAAAACTTTCTAATCTCAATATTCCCAGAACTAACACAATTTCCATCAGAGACTAGAGAAAACTGAACATTCTTTTCAGGAAAAGCACTGGAGCATAGCCATTAAGAATACAGGTTTTGGAGTCAGATCTGCATTCAAATCTTAAGCTTTCTAGGCAGAATTCACTCCATTACAAGATGGGGACAATCATAACATTCAATCATAAGGTTGTTCTGAGGGTCAAGTAAGATCCCATGTGAGGTGCCCAGCACAGTTTGTACACAGTACACATTCAGTTGATGTTAGCTGTCATCCATCGCCTTCTTCCCAAACTCATATATATATTTTCACTCTGCTCCTTTGTCCTTAATCTTCTTAACTCTAACATTACCTTTAGAACCAAAGTCTGTAAGCCTCTTTTCTCTGTTACACAGGGAGTACAAAAGAAATATAATTTCTGTAAAACTGATTTGCATCCTAGTAAATTTATCATGCTTCCTGGTTCTTGGTGACTAGGTAACCAGCAGAGGAGCTAATTCATTATTTTAGCAATTCAAACAGGACCTCGGAAGAAAGGCACCCTGCGGTCACAAAGCACTGGGACTGTACTAATGAGAAGATTAAAAGAAAGTTCAGCTTACACAGTTCCAGATAATCACAAATGTACCCAAGGATTATTAACAACCACAATTACCTGGAACTATATTATCTGCCTGCTTGGTTATTCTGAAGTCAACTTGTATTTGAATAGATGAGCTTACAGTAGTTAATAAGTTTTTTTGAAGTGGCTGGCTGGGCCCCATCCTAATACACATCTGGGGAAATATGAGGGTATGCCTAAGGCTTCATAGTACCCAGCATCCTAATTCTCACCCAGAAGTGAAATGAAGCTCTAAGTTCTCCTATCCACAGAGCCCCTGTCTGAGTCCTTGCAGGTCCTCTTTGTTGGAACCACCTGCCCAATGAGGGGCCAGACTCATGTGTTCTAGATAAACCTTTTGGAAAATCAAAATGCCTTTCTGCAAAAGCAATGTCCATTCTCAGGGATTTCTCTAGAGGACAAAAAGCTCTGGGCTTTCATGACCCTGGTAGTCACTTCCCAAACATCCCCTTAAATATCTTCACTGCCATCTTTTAGTTGTGTAGGACTGTGCACTGCAGTGTGCCCAGGTGCAGGTCTCAGAGGCCTTCTGGTTCACCCCCTGGTTTCTCTTGCATATTCCATGCTTTCTGCTGCAGGCTGGTCTTGAACCCGGAGCTCTCCTGAGAGGATGGGGGCAGACGGGGAGACAGTGGTCTTGAAGAACGTGCTCATTGGTGTCAACCTGATCCTTCTGGGCTGCTTGCTCAAGCCCTCGGGGTGTCAGCTGGAGGTCACCATGGAAAGGGTCCAGAGACCAGCAGTGCAGGAGGAAGGAGGCGCTGCCAGCTACAATGCATCCAGCAAGGAACAGCCGGTGGTCTTCAACCACGTGTACAACATCAACGTGCCCCTGGACAGCCTCTGCTCGTCGGGGCTGGAGGCCTCAGCAGAGCACGAGGTGAGCCCCGAAGACGAGGTGCTGACGGAGTACACAGGCCAGACCTCGGACCACGAGAGCCAGGTCACCTTCACGCACAGGATCAACCTCCCCAAGAAGGCCTGCCCGTGTGCCAGCTCGGCCCAGGTGCTACAGGAGCTGCTGAGCCGAATTGAGATGCTAGAGAGGGAGGTGTCGGTTCTGCGGGACCAATGCACCAGCAACTGCTGCCCGGAAAGTGCGGCCACAGGTGGGTTCTGGAGCTTACAGCCAGTCTCTGGAGGGGAGGGAGGGTGCTGAGCAGACAGGAAGCGGGAATCTGGGTGATTACACCAGTGCCTGAGAAATCTGGCACCTCTTCACACAGAGGGGAGAAAGAAAAGTGCCCTCGTCTGTAGCTCTCTGTTAATACGCCTCTAAGATCTAAGTGTGGTCCTTTCCCAGGGGATTCGGCATAGGGACTCTCTACAGTGCTTAGCCAGTCTGAAATACATTAACCTAATTTGGGGGGGATGAGTCAGGGAATGGTACATCGGTTCAGCACAGCAACTGCTGTGGCGAGCAGGGAATTTGACGTCTGTCTTTATTCATCTTTGGTTTTCACAGGCTGTTGAATTGATATCTATCCATGTTAACCGGAGGGACTAGAGAATGCAGGCGCTCTGTTCACTCCATCTCAGCCTTTCTCCCGTCTGAGAAAATTACAGTCATTAAAACCTCAGAGGACCTGGCCCCATCTTCTCCAATAAGCTGGAAGTTTCAGCCCCTGCCCCCTCCACCAAAACATGTGGCTGTGCATACATGTGCACGCATACCCACCCACAGAGCTTATTCCAAGCCTCTCCCCAACCAAAGGCTGAGTATCCGGAACTTGGATATCTAGCCTCACCTACATCCTAACTACTAACACTTATGAACGACTCTTTTGACCTCTCTGGGAGAAGTCAGCTCATCTTCAGGGCCAAGACTTCCTGACTACGTGTCCTAGCTCTGCTACTTACTAGCCTGTGACTTAAGCAAGTTGCTTAACCCATGTGTTCCTTTCCCCCTCAACAGACTAGAATGACAGGGAGTTATTAAATATAAAAACCTCCACTCAGATGAAAGCCCAGCCTCTAGTAGGCACTTCATATTCAATAGCAATTGTCAGCAGATCCCCAGTGAGCAGAAAGTGTGTCCCCTTTTGTGCCCAGCTTCTCTCACCCAAAACAGTACCTTCAACCCATTCGATTCAGTCTGTAATGAGAAAAGGATGGTGTCTTACCATTTTGGGTTCAAGCTTTTACCTCTCTAGGGTCTAATATCTCAAGCCTTGCCCAAGGATGAAAGAGGTGTCAGGAAAGGCATTTTAATAGGGAGAAAAGGCCCATATGTTCAGAGAGATGTCCAACACATTCATTCTGAAACACCTAGACTGGGGGTAGTCTTTGAGAAGAGAAATATTTCTTGGGTTTTCTCACCTGTTCCTCCTTATAACCAAAACTATAAACAATCTGAAACTGAGAGGACAAAGTCCAGGTGTTCAGACTCTCCTTCCTCAGTGAGTTCACCTTTTCAGTGGAGTTGGGGAATATAGGGAAGACACAGGTGTCCATGGACATGGGTCTTCAATGCATGGGAAGCTGGTGGCTTCTGTAAGTGGGCTGTTTTTTTAAACCAGCTTCCCACTCATTTGCCTGGGAAGGTGTGAAAAGATCTATAAGTAAGATCTATGTTAACCAATGTCGGTATAGTATCCTTTTGGGTCATTGGGGGAGGGGGTGCATGAAGTGGCAAAATTAAACAAGGACATAACTTACTTGACTTCCTATCCCCAAGGCCAAGTGCTGAGAAGGATGCCAAGCAGGTACTGCTATGGTGTTCATTTAATAAGTTTGTTTGATTCTTGCTAGACAGATAAATTAACCACTCTAGTTATTACATGGTAAGGGCTAGGGCAGGAGATATACATAGAATCCTAAAAAGATCACAGCAAACAATCACCAAATGAGACAAGTTCTGGGAAACCTTTGAAGTGACCCTGGAGCTGAACTGTGAAGGATGAGCAGTTAGTTAGATGGTGGGAAGGAGAGGAATAGGATGCATCTGCAGCACATGTGACCTTGACCTGCCTCACAGGCCTGCTACTCAGCCTCCATCCCCTCGGTCCCCTTCGGTCCCCTTCAATCTTTAGCACCAGCACCTGGGTGTGTTGGTCAGGGACTGCCCCCAGGCTCTGAGACCCTCCTTGATCTGCCGCAGGTAGAGAATGGATGAGCATGAGAATTGACACCCTCCAGGGACAGCCCTCCATCCCAGTTGAGGTGTGGCTTGCCCTGTGGCCAGAAGATCCCCTGCAGGACTGAGCCCAAGTCACACTCCCTGGGACTTTGCTTGGTAATATGTTTGGCTTGGGCTCCTCCCTCCCTGTCTCCTCGTCTCCATGACCAGTTTTTTCCTGGGAGCACCTCCCAATTAGTCACTAGGGAACCCAAGCCAAGACACATCGCAGGTGAGCTCCTAAAGAACAAGGGACCCAATCTCACTCATCCTCACCCTCAACACTATGCCAGACACACACAACCCACATTAGGCGAAAAGATTCATGAAGCTGAAGCTTGAGCTTCCCTCTCGGCAACACAAATCTGATCAGTGAGCGAGCAGAGGTCTCAGCCTGCCCCCCTCCCCATACCCCACTGCCAGCAGGTTCCACAGCTGCCCTTGACCTTCTCCTTGGCCATTCCAGGGCAACTGGACTATATCCCTCACTGCAGCGGCCACGGCAATTTTAGCCTCGAGTCCTGCGGCTGCATCTGCGAGCAAGGCTGGTTTGGCAAGAACTGCTCGGAGCCCTCCTGCCCGCTGGGCTGCTCCAGTCGGGGCGTGTGTGTGGACGGCCAGTGCGTCTGTGACAGCGAGTACAGCGGCGACGACTGCTCGGAGCTCCGCTGCCCGACCGACTGCAGCTCCCGCGGGCTGTGCGTGGGCGGGGAGTGCGTCTGCGAAGAGGCCTACACGGGCGAGGACTGCAGCGAGCTGAGCTGCCCCGGGGGCTGTTCGGGGAAGGGGACCTGTGCCAACGGTACCTGCCTGTGCCAGGAGGGCTACGTCGGCGAGGACTGCGGCCAGCGGCGGTGTCCGAACGCTTGCAGCGGCCGAGGACACTGCCAGGAGGGGCTGTGCCTCTGTGAAGAGGGCTACCAGGGCCCTGACTGCTCGGCAGGTAGGGAGGGGGGCTCCGTGGGGCCGTCAGCAAGGGCGGTCCAGCCAGCTAGCCAGAGGCGGGAAGAGAGATGGAGGGAAGATGAATTTAGGCCAAAGAATTGCCCAATGGGTCGTGCTCCTCTGCTCTCCGAGAGGGGTGATGCCTTGAGTAGATGGCAATTGACAACACGGGTTTAAGGGGAAAAGAGTGGACACCAGAAAAGGTCAAGTTTGGGATGAAAGTTGAATCCTACCCGGAGGCTGGAACAAAGTCAGTGGTAATAATGGAGACAGCATTTCACTGTTTTTAAGATGGAAGAAAGCAGAGTCAGGCCAGGGGACCACCTTAGGCAAGGGACCCCTCTCTAACTCAGTGGACTTCCCAGAGCTCCACTCCCTCCGAAATGTTCCCCTTTCCCATTGCCATATTCTGAGGACACTCCTTTCACAATGCTAGGGAATGAGATGGGGCATAGTCTTTGATAATCAGACTCACTGGGCACTCTGGTTATTTTTGGAGCTTCCATATGGCAAAGTGTTATTAATTTATGAAATGATCTAGAATCCACACGGATGAAAGTATTTATAGGCAAGGAATTACATGTAAACAGGAATAAATTACTAAAGACCTCCATTAAGCAAGAACTCACAGTCTAACTAAAACGCTATGACTCAGTTTGTTCCAGAGGACATATAACAAGCTGGAATCAACCCCACATGTGTCTACATCATGAAAACCAAGACAAGGGTGATATCCCAAAAGGAAGCCCCAAGTCCATCAGTGAGAACATACCAGTATCTCACTGGAGATCATTTTCTTTTGCCTAAAATCAGATTATTTTCATTATCTCACTGTGACTGCTGATTGTCTTCTAAATCAGTGACTGTCACTGTTTAATTTGTATTTTAAACAATACAGATTGAGTGATTGATCTTCATCCTTCTCATTTATAGTACAATCTGTAACAGTCAGCTCAAAGGGCTCATTGGGAAGATTTAAAATAAAAAATAACAAGAAATAAACATTATTAAATCTTCTGATGAGTTGATTCTAGGAATTTTTCTGATCAGATTTCTGACCTCAGTTTAAGGAGGAGATTCTGGGAGGCCAGGTCTTTTATTCTTGAGCATCAGCAGTGATTCCCACCTATGTACCAAAGCAGTCAGACATGTTTCCTGCACCTGTAACTTAAATTTCTTTTGAAAGATGAATGCAACAAGGTAAAGAAAAAAAACAAAAATTCACTGCTTAGGGAAAAAATGTTTTCATGTTCCTCCATTTTCTTCCATAGTCAATGGTTTCATGTAGCCTCCTACTTTTGTTTACTGACTATCTTTCTGAAAATATAGTTATTATACCAATTGTTCAGAAGGAAAATTCAAGCAGAAATTGAGCTGCATCATTTACAAACCCAAGGTCACTAAGTAATTCCTGGAAAGGGGAAGTTGAAGCATGATCCCAGTTCTCACTCCCAGGACAAGGCTCCATGAGGCCCCATCAGAGGATGCTAAGGGTTCTTTTGGGCCCTTCTCTATGTGTGGCTACTGTATAGTTCACATTCTTCTTAATAAAATTGATCTCCGTTGGGTTGTACATACCTGTCATGTTCTTCCTGACCCTCCTTTTCCACAGGGGTGGGTTCATTTGCAAATAGAACCTTAATCTGATCCAGGGTACAAACTGAGCTGGAGGTGACCCTTCTGTTCACATGCGGAAGACTCAGCAGCCGCCTGCATAACTACAACTAGGCTGAACTCAACCCATGAGCTACATGTTACCTCCAACACGTTACCTCTGTGCTATTTGATTTAGAAAGACTTTTGGACAATCAGATAAATTACTTTATAGGTTCCCAAAGCACGTGAGGAGGGACAGTTGCATAATTTCCATCTGTTTCTATAGCAACCATGGAGCCACCACTTATTGCTGGAGGTGCTGTTCTCAATGCTTGTCTTTTAAACCAAATGCCATGGGTCTCTTCCAGAGAAGTATCTAGGTCATTATCTAAAGTGCTACTTCGCCTGCTCTTGGCGAGAAGGCTCCAGGAGAGGGGCTGTTTACCCGCTGTTTGACATTTTTGGCCACATACACACACTCCAGCATTACTATTCATCTCACCAACAGCAGGAAGGAGAGGAGAGAGGAGAGTCGGGAAGGTGAAACCGAGGAGAGCCACAACACACTCCCTGACTTTCCTTTCTTGCTGGCAAGGGCATGGAGAATGGAGGCCCATTGTGTGGACTTCATTCTGAGGTCCCTTAGGCTGCTAGAGCTTGAATGCAATTGAGTAGAGTTGACAAGACCGCTCTATTTGACTCCCAGTCTTGATCTTTCTCACAGTGGACCATGAAACCAGATCTCAACCTTTCCACCTCTATTCTCTGGCCAGGTAAAGACAATAGAACAACAACAACAAAAAAAGAATATGAACACTTAAACCAGGCCTTAGAAAGAAGTTACTCAGGGCTTCTCATTTTACAAACTGAAAAAGCAGCAGCCCTGGGAGATGGGAATATTTTTCCAGAGCCAGACAGCTAATTAATGGCAGAGCAAGAATAAGAACCCTGGTCTCCTACCAACTTCTAGCACTCTTTAATCCTCCCTAGGATGCTAAGTAGAGTGGAATTGGAAAATAAAAATGGTAAAGCCACATGCATAAAGAAATAGTCTTTTGATATGAAAGCTGAGCTCTGTCAGGTGATAAAAAAAATACTAAGTGTTGGAGACAGGATAGGGGTGCTTGTTCAACATTTGTCCACATGTGCCCCTGGTGAAGGAGGTTAGTGTGGGAGGTGGCCAGTGAACTGGTCACAAGTCCCTGTGAAGAAGCAGGGTGAAAGAACCACCAGAGTTGAGGCTTGAAACAATCCAGAAAGCTGTTCCTTGGACTTTGGTCAGACGTGCAGAGATTCATCACCATCAGCCTCTGTGTTGGCCAGCACTGCAGCCAGTACGAACTTTGGCACCTGACCTCACTCGCTCCTCTGAGCAAGACACTTCATGGAATTAATTGCAACTGTTCTCACAGTATATGTGCAAATTGATGCCAGATCTAAAAAGTAAACAGCATGGCATCTTGCCAGATAAGCAACTCCAGTTCCTCAAGCTATAGTTAATTCTTTTTAACTGCCTGCTCATCCACAAGTTTCCAAGTTGGAGCCCCAAAGAAAGCAAAACCAAGAATACTTTGTGTGGTTTCCCTGGTGGTCCAGTGGTTAAGAATCTGCCTGCCAATGCAGGGGATACAGGTGCGATCCCTGCTCTGGGAAGATTCCATGTGCCATGGGGCAGAGCCTGTACTCTGCAACAGGGGAAGCCCCCACAGTGAGAAGCCCACACACTGCAACAAAGAGTAGACCCCATTCACAGCAACTAGAGAAAGCCTCCATGCAGCAAAGAAGACCCAATGCAGCCAAAAATAAATAAAAAGAAAACTTTCTTCAGCCCCACTTAATTCCTTGAATCAAGGCATACAGCTCTTTTATAGTTTGCTTTCTAGTTCAATATAATTTCATTTTATAAGAATTATTGACACCCAGTTTATACAGCTTCTGCTAAATTATAGGATGAGTGATGATGGTCTCTTCTGCTGAGCTACTACTCTCAAGAATGCTTCTTCCACCATGGACATTATTGCTTCTTTCACATCAGATGTGAAGGTTGTTTTTCCCACCACCCAGGCTCAGGTCTCAAGATAAAAAATGTGCCAAGCTAAGTTGTCAAGATGAGAAAATCCTTCTGCAGTCTTTTTAACTTTAAAATCCCCAAATGTGCTGCTTGGATCATTCTCTATTGTCGTGATTAGCTTTATTTTCCAGAGAAAGCAACAAAAAATGAATTCACCAACTTGTTCTCAATGCTCTAAGAATTGTTGGTAACTTGAAATTTGGAATGGCCATTTCTGTCACCGTGACAGGAGGAGTCCCACACTGGAAACTTGGAATTAATGTGTTGAATCACAAAAGGCAGGCACTAGAGAATCCTTAAAAGAAGTTTCTGATCACTAGGATAAGCACCAGTCTAGAATTCCCATCCTAAAAGACAGTCTGAATTATTTACTGATGTAATTTATTTTTGAGGCTCTGTACAAATGAAAGAAAGCATTTGGCACAATCCATAACCCATCCTACAAATTGTAGGGGGAAGAACATCCAAGGTAGAAGAGTGTAGACCAAGTGTAGAAGACCTCGGCTTGATGATCAGTTCAGCAATGACCCAACTCCCTTACTTTTGGCAAGTCTCTCGCCTGGGTCTGTTTCTCCATTTGTAAAGTTGGGATAATTACACCTTCCCAATCTACCTCAGAGTGCTGCTATTAAATAATTTTTTAAAAAAAATTCTAGTTAGATGGTGTTTTATAGACCAAGATGCTATGCAAATGTAAGTTGTATTGCATACTGGCTTAGAGTTTCTAGAATCATTGCACCTGGGTTCAAATCCTAGCTTCTGTGTTCACTGATTATGTAACCCAGTTTTCTTCTCTGTAAAACAGGGGTAAAAATAATACTGATCCCATAGTGTTGGTGAGAGGATGAGATGAGAAAATCCATGTCAGAATGTTTAGCCTAGTGCTTGGTGCATAATAAATAGTTAATATAATCATGCAAAATACTGATAGGTTCTATATATCAACTATTCCTTCCTTGGTCCAAGAGTCATACGGTATGTATTATACAGGCTAACCCAAAGATCTTAGTGGAATTCAAAGCTCTAATCATGTTAGAGTTAGAAATGACATAGGCTTACAAGCTATTTGAAACTTTAATTATTTAAATTTCATTTACATTCATCTAGCTATAATAAATTGTTAAAAATAAAGTTAATTTTTTTTTGTCTTGGTCAACATATAACTTCTCAAATCACAAGAAGTTCTGCTATTTATACTGTTTCATATCATGAATAGTTCAGGGCAAAAGCAATCAAAGCAAATGCCCAGCACTGCAAATACATGTTCCTAATTCCCATCATATGAGTCTTCATTTCTGCCTCTGATGAGGATTTGAGGTAGAGCACCATAGAGAGAGCAGGCACTTCTCACTCACATGGCCCCTGACAGTAGTCCTCAGTCCTCTGCTCGAGTAAAGGGGGAAAGAGAGAGAATTCTCAGAAGTTCAACACCAGTGACAACACTTAAGCTAATCGAAGCCTCCAACTACACGTAAATTTATAAGTTAATTATGACTATTTAACTACTGGCATGATCTTTGAGTTCATCTACAGGCAGGTCCAATTACAGGTACCCTGGTATTAACTTCCTAATTGGTCTTAAAGTTTCAATTATTTAATACCCCCACTACCACTGAACCTTCACTTCCCAAGGGAACCATACATGAAAGGCTATTGTAATGAGGTTTCATTTTTGGTGAGTCTTTGAATAGTCTTCAAGAAGTAGAACAGGAATGCTACTTTGTCATCATCCCCTATATCAAGGTTAATAAAAATTTGTGTAACACAAGTTACATTTCCAGAGTAATCTGATAACAGTAATTTATTAAACTACCAAAAATATTAGCCAACGTATGCCGTTAAGTATCTAACAACTAGCTCTCTGAGGGAAAAAATAACAAGCCCCACTTTGTAGCATTTGCCAGCTCCCATGGTATAAATACTCCCTCCATGGCCAGTTTCAGACTACCAGCGTAAAGTCACTAAAGGTTGAGTTGGAAATAGCTGCACACTAGAACAGAACCAAATAGTACTGGGTTGGCCAAAAAATTCATTTGGGTTTTCCACCCATTTTATGGAAAACCTGAACGAACTTTTTGGCCAAAGCAAATTTCTTCCCCAGTGGCTCAGTAGTAAAGAACCTGCCTGTAATGCAGGAGACATGGGTTCGATCCCTGGGTTAGGAATATCTCCTGGAGGAGGAAATAGCAACCTGCTCCAGTATTGTTGCCTGGAAGGTCCCATGGGCAGAGGAGCCTGGTTGGCTACAGTCCATGGGATCGCAAAGTCTGACACAACTTAGCAACTGAGCACACATGCACTATTTCTACCAAAGAGATACAACACAGGTAAATTGCCTTAAGGGCACAGATAATAGTAAAACATATTGAAATCATTTGCCAGTGATGAGTTTGGAGTATTTATTACTTTTGTTCTTAAGATAATTATCTAATTCTAAGTTTAGACAATTTAATATTTCACAATGACTATTTAAAAATGTCTCGCAAAATTTGACAACTAACTTTTCCAAGCCAGTAGGAGCAGGCTCCAGCCCACTGCTAACTCAGGGCCCTATAGAGGTGAGATACCGAGCACAGAAAAGACAAGAACCTGCCTGCCGAGGGACTTCCCTATCACTCCAAGTCAGTGAGCTGAGAGCATACAGACAGGGCATGTGGGGTGAGAGGTGAGGAAGGAAGTTGAGTCCAGCATGGGAAGGCAGACCTCTGAGCTCATGCTATCTGTGTATTGCCTCCTGGTAGTTGCCCCTCCAGAGGACTTGCGAGTGGCTGGTATCAGCGACAGGTCCATTGAGCTGGAATGGGACGGGCCGATGGCAGTGACGGAATATGTGATCTCTTACCAGCCGACGGCCCTGGGGGGCCTCCAGCTCCAGCAGCGGGTGCCTGGAGATTGGAGTGGCGTCACCATCTCAGAGCTGGAGCCAGGTCTCACCTACAACATCAGCGTCTATGCTGTCATTAGCAACATCCTCAGCCTTCCCATCACTGCCAAGGTGGCCACCCGTACGTACCATTTCCCCCTCCTGCTTCATTTTTCTTTTCTCCTACATGAGATCATGGGCATTCATGATGGTAGTGTCTTTTCTTAATTCTTCAGGGATGCCTGCAGTTATCATTGCTCTCAAGGGGAAGGGCTTCCGATGTGACCCACTTAGGAAAGGGCACATCATTAAAAAGACAATTCCAAAGGAGCAGAGTTTCCACATCCCAGCCAGCCCCTATCTATTATAGAGCCAAAAGGACAAAAAGTACTTTAATTGTTGAGTTTGATTTGTTATAAGCTTGAGTCTGATTAGAAGTCAAGGAAAGTATGAGACTTACACAGACTTTGAATCTAGTTAGAGATTCAAAACCAGCAGACATGAAATAGGACATATAATAAGCAAGTGCTAAATGGTATATCACAGATGGCAAGTGTATAACACATTGGGAAAAAATCTTATTTAAAACCACAACTGAAAACACCCACTTCTCCTCAGGGAGAGGTGGCATTATTTCTTCATAATCTTTTGTTTAGTAAAATACCCTGATGGTCCATTTCGATTATAAACATTGAATCTCTAAAGCATCATTTAGGAAGAGTCAATGGGCAAAAAAGAGATAGAGAAATGGAAGTTTCTCTCTTTTATTTATAACAGAGAAACTGCTATAGGTATGTATCTATATTTTGTATGCTTATTTAAGAACAGAAACATTTTAAAAGACTGCATACCAACTATTAACATTAATTACATCAAAGAGCAGAATAAGAAAGAGATGGGAAGGGGCTGTTATTTCATTTTCTTTATATACCGTGGAATTCTTCAATTGTCTTTCCAACCCCACTTCTTCAGCTCTCAAATGCCAGCTGGGATCGTACAGTTCATTTCAACTCAATATCTATCCACCAGGAGTTAGCATCAGATCTGACAAGCTAAAGACCTCAGTCTCTCAGAACTGCTTCCACATCAGTTTTCAGTCACAAGTCCCAGCTTGTCATGGGTCTTCTGAATAGCCAACTCTACATTTAAGGGGTTCCCAAAACCCGTCCTTAATTTTGGTAATTCCTTAGAACTCACAGAGCTCAAGAAAGCTCTTTGCTCTCTATAACCAATTTCTTAGAAAGGATGCAAGTCAAGGAAAACCAAATGGAAGATACACATAGGGCAAAGTATGGTGTGTAGGGCTTCCATGTTCTCCCTGCACAGCAACTGTCAGTAACTCCATGTGTTCACCAGCCCAGAAGCTCTCGGAACCCCATTGCTTAGGGCCTTTATGGAAGTTTCATTATGCAGGCGTGATTGGTAAAACCCCTAGCCATTGGTGATTAACTCAAGTCAGCCCCTCTCCCCTCATTGGAGTTTGCGGGCAGGAGTTCCAACCCTCTCTCTAAATCACTCCTGGGTTTTTCTTCAAACCAGCCATCTAGGAGGCCCGGGCTACCAGTTATCTCATAATCATACAAAAGATACTCTTTTCCCTCTGGGGATTCCTCGGGTTTTAGGAGCTGTTGTGTCAGGACAAAGACCAAATACTTACTTTTTTTTATTACATCACAGAGAATTTTAGTAATGGCAGGAAACCAAAACAAGATGTGACAGTGAAACATCAGCCCCTGGGTTGGTAAATGAGACTTATCACCAAATATGGGATGAGTGATCCAAGCCCATTTGGTGTAGGTCTCAAATGACAAGATGGTATTTGGGTAACAAATGCCAAAAAAGCTCAGAATAAGAAGAGGTTGAAGTAGGAAGGTGGTGCTGATGGTTAAGAGCCCGCCTATCAATGCAGGAGACATAAGAGATGGAGGCTGGATCCCTGGGTCAGGAAGATCCCCTGGAGGAGCGCGTGGCAACCCACTCCAGTATTCTTGCCTGGGAAACTCCATGGGCAGAGAATCCTGGAAGGCTACCGTCCACAGGGTCGAAAAGAGACACGACTGAAGCAACAGAACGCACATGCACAAAGTAGAAAGAGTTGGCTTGGAAGGCTTCATGGAGGCCAAGGTCTTGAGTTGTGCTGCAAGCATAGGACAGGCAGAGGGGAAAGGATTTAAGAAGTCATTTTGTCCCCTTGCTTCTCAGGTGACAAAGATCCTGTTAGAATATTGGACTCCCCCTCTGAATGCTGACTTTTTTTTTAATATGCCTATAATTATCTCTGTTTTTATCTGACTTTTTTTTTTTCTTCAATTCCTCTGGTGCCTGAGAACCAGTTTAAAATATCTGCAGTGATCGCGTAGAGAGGCAGGTCACCATCTGCTGCTTTCCCCACCTTGCTCCGGGATGAGTCATCACAGCGAGAGCCTGGCCTGACTCCCAGGCGTCTCTGCTCTGATCCACGTGCACCACGCACCGTGGCGAGGTTTCCATCTCCCGTGGCGTTTATTCTGCCAATTCAGGGCATCCCCTCGGGCAAGCTCCCAGGTGACAAGGACAGAATCATGTAAACTCACCTGACACACCTTCAAGTGGGTTGAGGAGCCGCCCTGCCTTTCACCGAGAAGCCTGAGGAAGCTTCCAAACAGGAAGGATGAGAATCTGCCAGCCTTCCAATGGGAAGGTCCCAGGAGAGGCGCAGCTAAAATGGGATCAGGCTCCCTGGAGAACTGAGAAAAGTCGTGCTGTCGTATTTCAGGGCTGGTAATTGGAACCCCATTAGGACCAGCCTGCTTCCACCTGTGTGTGCATGTGTGTGTTTGGGGGCGGGAGGGGAGGGAGGGTGTGGGGAATGGAAAGCCAGGGAATTAGGAGAGGAACTAAAAACAAGATTGAGGTGAAGTTGAGTGAGGGAGAGAGGGAAGAGAGAACCAAGCAACAGCTGGAGAAAGAAAAGCAGGAACTCGTGGAGTGAGAGCAGAAACCCCAGTATCTGTTACTGTCCCTTATTTACACTGTTGCTTGGCTTGGCTACACATTTTGCTACACAAAATGGAAATTTCAGGCCATTCTAGAGGTGGTGATTTGAGCTAAACAAGATATTCTTAGTGCACATCATGTGATGGAGAAAAGCGTTCGAGTCTCTATTCTGAAGTTGGCTTGCTCCACGCCTTTCGCTGATTCTCTCTGTGCCCCCTTCTCCCGGGTATGGGAAGGAACAGTGGCATTAACCTTCACACCGCCTCTCAGAAACCCTTAAAGCCTCCAAAGACAGCGTTTGGCTTCTCTGAAGAAGGCATTATGTTAAATGCCAAGACTCAACACCTTAGTAAGGAAAGGGAAGTGTGCCTTTTGATTTTAACAACCTCCTATGGAATAGAAAGCATAAAAAGTGTTTATTAGGTGTTCATTAGGTTCACTCCTCTGTTGGCTCACGCTGAGCACCAACACCAACGTGGCCTGGGCCCACCCCTTGCCTGGAACCCAGTGCGTCTGTAATGAGGTTGGGATAGCCCATCACACGCCGCGGCACCCATGGCGTGGGGGGAGCCCAGGTAACGCTCCCTGCCCCTGCCAGGGCTAGCCATGACGCCGTCACCCACATTGCTGTGTTCCAGATCTCTCCACGCCGCAGGGGCTCCGATTCAAGACGACCACAGAGACCACGGTGGAGGTGCAGTGGGAGCCCTTCTCATTCCCCTTCGACGGGTGGGAGGTCAGCTTCACTCCAAAGGTAACCCCACCTGTCAGAAAGCCACAGCCTGATGTGGCATGCCCACACCCTCGACTTAGGATGGGGCAGCAAAACAGCCACCCCCGTCACACAGTCTGTGTCTCTCTCTGCAAGCCATTCAGGACACAAAAGGGCACTTGGCAGGCTTCAGAACATGTCTTTCACAAAGGTGTGGTAATGACTGATTAATAAGAATGGCCCCAAGCCTGGTACCCAGGCCTTGGGTGACAGGTGAGTGGGGGAGCAGCCAGACCTAGCTCTCTGCTCAAAAAACTTTAGATTTTAGCAAGCTGAGACTTCAGTGAGTCTGAAAACCTAAACCTTCAAAAAGTTGGGGCTTCTCTTTAGGACACAAGAAAAGCTAAAGCCAATGAGTCTCATAGGCAACCCACAACTTCATTCTGTGCAGGCAGAAGCCCCCAAAGTCGACCTATGTGGTTTCAGCCTCTGAGATGTAACACAAAAACACCATGCATAACGTATTCATTGAGAAAAATTTTCTTTAAACATTTTGAGCTGAAAAGGATCTTAAGATTTCTTTCCATTCATCAAAGTTGTATTTTATTTTATTAATACACAAATTAACTTTTCTAAGTTGCCAGAGGTGCCTGACTAGTTCTAGTTTTTCTAGGAGTTATTAATGGCACTGATGTTTCCCCTAACTATATCACTCATGAGGGTATACACACACACACACACACACACATAAAATGTTTAATCACATTCCTTTCCTTTGTCTTCATCTTTCAATATCAAAGAGAATTTTTTCAAATCATTCATCAGACTTAATGACAGATGACACATTTTTGACTCATAAGACTATGATTTTACTATTCTTTTTACTTCAAAATTCTTAGAGACATGAACTGTTGGAACTACAAAAGACTTTCAGATTCACAGAGAATGACCCTTAATTTTACATCTAGTTTGTTTAGTTTATAGAGAATAAGACTCAGTGAACTTACACGATATCAGACAGCTGGTTGGTGGCAGGCTTAAAACAAGAACCTGGTCTCCACTTCTTATTCCCGGGCTCTGTCCCCTGAACTGGACAGGACACCTCCTTCTCTTGTGGGGATATAGTCATGACATGCCAAGCTAACTACATCTAAGCAGATTTTCTACATATGTAGTTTCTTATATGTTTTATCTGCATTAAAATGGTCAAAGAAGTATGGTGGGCGAATGGGTTCATAAGAGAGCAGACAGAATCATGCCACTCTGCTGCTCAGGCAAGACAAAATGATGCCAGGTTTGCCTGTTTTACATCCAATATGTAAATTCCAAATGAGAGAGGGGCTAGCCAGGGCATACCTAGGTCAAATATACAGCCACATAGAATAACTGTATGATCTGTAGGTTGAGGCTAGTGGGAGGCACTTGTCACATTGATTTATAAGAGTATGGATAGTAACTACATATAGGGCACTCCAGGTGACATGAACAGAGACTAAAGATTATAAGAAGAGGACTGTGCCACAAAAAATAGCCCTCATGTCACCTCCACTTCCGAGGCACAAAGAGAAAATGTATAAGAATAGGCCAACAGACAGACAAGTGGGCAGAGACACTAAACCCTGGACACAACGTCATGTTGATCTTTTTCACTTCTTCTTTCACCAGTGTGCCTCTTTCTTCTTTCCTTTGTATTATTCTTTGTTCTACCCTTTTCCTCTTCTTTGTACTCTGTGGTTGTGTCACTGATTCCTAACTCATCAGGGTAAAAGGGAAACAAGACAATGACAGATTTGCAGCCAGTGTAACAGTGAGAAACTCCAGACACAGCAAAATAATAGCTCCAGCTCATTAAAAAAACTGGGAACGTTTTAGTTTGAAATATGTTGTCATGTACATAAAGATGTTTACACACATACACACACAACTAGGCTCTTCTAAATAGCCAAAAGCAGGCTCACCATGATAAATGCCAAAAAAAATATCTGATAGATGGTAAGCATCAAACATTTCATTTTTGGCAAAAATGTCTACATCATCTCATGACTAATTTTTATTGGCAAACTCAGTAGAAGCAGGGGAAGCCAAAGAAATGTTCTTGAAAATTGGCATTCTTCTTGAGCCTGCTGGGAGCCATTCCTGGCCCCAGACACTCAGCTGTCAGCCTGGAGGGCAGAGAAGTGGTCCTCATCTTTAACTCACAATCAGGGTCCCATCCTTTCCCCTCCTATTGATTTCCTCTTTTGGTTTCTCTGCTTCTCTCTTCCTTCTACCCACCAGAACAATGAAGGAGGGGTGATTGCCCAGCTCCCCAGTGACGTCACATCTTTCAATCAGACGGGACTAAAGCCTGGGGAGGAATACATTGTCAATGTGGTGGCTCTGAAAGAGCAAGCCCGGAGCCCCCCTACCTCGGCCAGCGTCTCCACTGGTAAGTGCCTCCGACCTTTCTCGCTCTGACTACACAAGGTTCATTCAGGAAGAATTTCAGAGTCAATCAAGACAGACAAAGGGGTGGTAGGACTTCTCCCACAGCTGAAATTAATTTTGGTGCCTGGAGATGGAGCTTACTCCACCAGATGCTTAGGTGAACATCTTCCTTATTCTTGCAAACCCAGGAGAGTATTCTATGAGAAATTCTTTGTTCAGATCTCCAGTGTGTCTGTATTCTGATCTTACTCATTAAGAGACTTCATTTGTAAGCCCCTAATATCTTGAGCTTTGGAACCAGCAAGAGCTAATACACTCTTGCTTATTGTGAGGCGTGCAGAAAGTCCTAAGACCCTTCCCAAACCTCGATCCATTTGACAATGATGAACGATAATACCTTCTTCAAAGAAATGACATGAGGATTAAATCAGATAAAGCACACAAAGTGATTAGCACTGGTTGATGACAGTGTGTATACATATACTCAGAGAACACCTTTCAAAGTGACAGAGCAGGAGGAAACACATCATTCCAAACCAGTAAGTGTGGGCTGGGTCACTGTTCAAGGTGACAACTTAAGTAGATTATTATTTCATCTCCACAGTTCCTCTCATGCAAGATCATTATATTTCTATGTTTGAGTCATTAACTGTATCACATTTTGCTTTATTGTTTCCTCAGCTAACAAAGGATGTTCAACCTCAAAGCTGTAAATTAACAAATATAATGCCTGTGTGTGCCCTCAACCAAGAGTTTCCCAAAAGTTATAAATAGCTTCTGGTATCACTTTTGGTTCTCATTTTATTGATGGAGGAGCTGAGACTCAAAGGTTAAGCAACACTCCCTGTAATAGAGACTAAGTTAGGTGAATATTGGGAGAGTTTTATTTTTTATAAACAGAAACTGACACCTAAGAAAACCAGTCATGAGTCCAGGGCGAAGGCCAGGTTGGCCAGAAAAGGGAACCGCAACACTATATAATGAGTGCATGTTTATGGATTAGTGATTCATACTTTGTTAACTGGATCCAAACTAAACAGCATCAGGTGCTGAGGTTTGTGCTCTGTCAAGAAAACATTGGTTTAAAACTATTGTGGCACCAGATTATGCTTCATTAGAGCCCCAGGGTTCCGTGACAGCTCCTCAAGGCAGGGAGGCAGTAGAGATCCCGGCCTCTTATTACTCTCAATCCCACGTCCCTCCCACCTTCCCACCAAGGCAGTTCCACTTTCATCTCTTTTATGTTTTGTACAATCATTTAAGATGTTCTTCTTTTAAAAAAAGAATATGCCCCCCCAATCCTCCCCAAAAGGCTTTAAAACCACTGTACTTATCCAAATATGTTTTAGAAGAAACTCTATAGCCATGAAGCTAAAAGTGCTCTGTAGGAATCTCTCCAGTGGCCAGAGTTTTTCTCCAGTTCTGCTTCCCAAGGTTATGCTGGACCCTGAAGAGTTGGTTAGGTAATTGTTCACTCTCCTCTTCTGATTTGGAATGTTTCAGGGTCCCTAAATCATTGCTGTGATTTGATACCAAAAAAGTATTAGCAGAAAACAAAAAGCTAGAAGATGGTACCTAACAGCGCAGAGAAGAACATTACAGATGTAAGATGCTTTTCTTCCAAAATACTGACACACTTAGAAAAGACAGATCTGCTTTAAGCTTCTACTTACACCACATTTTGACAAAATTGGCAGTATTTCTTTTTAATTTGGAATTTTCTTAAGATTAAAATGAAAAGCTCCTGATCTTGTCATCTGTGGTCAAGCCAGGCCAAAATTTTTTTTCACTTAGGAAAAAATGTCCTAATTCATATTTTGGGATTGTGTACAGAATCACAAAGAAATGGAAAGAAAAATATTTATTCCAGTTTACCTTTTGAGGAGGATGTGTGTTTGTTTAAAAATTAGGGCCTAAATTGAAAGCAAGCTGATACCTCCTTGACTGGAATGGGACACGGCTACCCAGTGGCCAACAGAAAGGCCGAATCCAAGAGTGGCAGCAGAAAAGATGGTTGGCTCCCAGCCCCGTCTGCTGATTTTAAGAAACCATTGTTTAATTATTTCCTTCTGCTAAGGTCTGATCCACACCAACCCTCTTGCAAAGCTCTGAGTCCTCACGCAGGCTGGCTTCTTCCAGTCAGGCCATTTTGGGAATTTAAATTACAAGACCTCCTGCAGCCAGAGGCCTTGGTGCTTCACAGTGACACTCTAATACAAGCAATCATTATGATTAGGATTGGGAGATTTTAAGAGCTGATGGAAAAAGCCTGACACAGTCATTAGAGTTTTTGTAACTTTTTTTTTTTTTTCAAGAAGCTCCAGTTCATTGAAATGCTTCCCTTTCTTATGACTGTTGAGAATCATCTCTTTATATCATTTTTCAGTCCCATGTACTGAGTCTCTACTATGTTTCAGGTATTGTGCTTATTCAGCTGCTCGGAGAACATCTCCCCCATCTCATTATTAAATTAAATGAAATTAAAAAGCCCAAGTTATCTGAAACTATGAAATTCAGCGTGCAAGAAAGAAAACATCTGGATGTGTTCTGTTACATCTCATTATTACTCCAAATATGAAAAACAGAACGTTTTAACTCCAAACCAGGTGGCAGCAAAACCAAAATGGTCTGGTGATTTTTATTTTGGCCAGTGTCAGACCCCAAATCCCAAACTGTTTAATAGAGAGAAGGACTGGGCTAGACCCACAAAGAGGGTGGGGTGCCCAGGGAAAGGCCCAACTCAGAAAGACTGAGAGGCTCAAAGTCAGGCTGAGACAGTCCTGAGGGGGACTCTCCATCCTGGAGACAATCAAGATTGTGATCCGGTGAGGATTTTTTTTTAAAAAAAATCTTAGTCAAGACACTCTGGTAATATGGAAGAAAAGTGGTCAAAACGTAGCTGAAGCAAAAAAGAGAATTTACTGGAAGGACACAGAGTGTCTCATGGAACCCCAGGGCCTGAAATGCATCTGAGTCTCACAGAAGACTTGAACCAGGAAATGGAAAGTCAAGAATCAAGTTATTCTCTATATCTTTCTAGAAATGCCACACGGTCACTGATTTCTGCTTCTCTCTCTCTGTTTGCTCCTAAAATTCTGCACCCATTTCCAGTGTGTGTGTGTTTGGGGGAGGGGTCCCCCACACCAAGCGATTCTCTGTTTACCAGCTAGGTATCCTACCATTCAACTCAGTTCTGACACCATCTATCATCTGAGAGCATCAGACTCCACAGGTTGAAGGCTCGGTCCTTTAAGACCATCCGCCACTTCAGATGCCAATCACAAACCCAGGTGTTGCCACCTGTCCTTCTGACTGACCAGCTACAGATTAGAGGTTCTACGACCCCTTCTCTGGGTTTCATCAATTTGCTGGAGCAGCTCACTGAACTTGGGAAACCCATTTTCTCACCAAATTACTGGTTTATCACAAAGGATATTTAAGGACACAAATCAACAGCCATATGAAGAGATACACAGGAGAGGCCCTGAACAAAGGAGCTTCTGCCCCCATGGAATTGGGGTCCTGTCATAGCGGCACATGGAAGCATTCTGGTTCCCTAAACTTGGAGCTCTCCGAACCCAGTCTTTTTGGAGTTTTGTGGAGGCTTCATTACTTGAGCACAATTGATGGACTGATCAGATGTCAGAAGTGAGACTGAAAGTTCTAACCCTCTAATCACCTAGTTGGGTCCCTTGACAACAGGCTTCCAACCTCGATTCATTAACATAACAAGAGACAGACAACTTTTTTTTACAGAGAGGAAATGGACATTTTTTTTTTTAATGGGGAAAGGTTGATCATGTTTCTTTCTTTTTTTATTTTAATTGGAGGATAATTGCTTTATAATGTAGCGCTGGTTTCTGCCAGTTATGGGAATGAGATTAACTATATACATATCTCTCCCTCTTGAGCCTCCCTCCTAGCACCTTCAGGTCATCACAGAGCACCAGCCTGGGTTCCCTGTGTGATACAGCAGCTTCCCACTAGCTATCTGTTTTACACATGGTAGTGTATATATGTCAATGCTACTCTCTCAATTTGTCTCACCCTCTCATCCGCCACTGTGTCCACAAGTCCATTCAACAAGAGACAACTTTACCACTTTGACCACTTAGAAAATATCAAGGGTTTTAGGAGCTCTGTGCCAAGAAAGGAAGACCAAATATGTATTTACTATAAATCACATTTTCCCCTTTGCCCTCATCCCTCTTTCTTCCTCTCTGTCTCTCCCTCCCTCCCTTTCCCCTTTTTCTCTCTCTCTCTCTTTCCCTCTCTCTCCCTCCCTGCTCCATCCAGATCAGATGTTTTCTATTTATGTGTGACGATGGTAGAGAATGGCCACACTAGTCCTGGCTCACCAACTAACCAGAGAGCCAGAGCCTGTGGTTCCAGTTCCTAATCCTTGAAGAATATTAATATTAACATTAATCAGCCCCAGCTAGAAGGGTGTCCTCCATAATAAATAAAAACATGGAAGCCGAGTCAGCTCTTTCTAGAAGATAATGAGTAATTAAAATAGGGCATGTTAGCCATGTAGACATGTCATGAGGAATTGAGAACACCATTTTCTACTCTACTCACTAAGCCCTTTCTATTTCCCTTCTACATTCTCTCACCTTGCCCCACCTCCACCATCACTTAATTCAATATGAACAGGACCCTAAGTGGATATCAGAACCATGGATGGTAGGCCCCCTAGGAAATCAACCAGTTTTTTCTATATAAAGCCATCACACAGTGGTTTCCCCTGGCTGCTCAGTGCCGGGGCCAGGGACACGTGCTGAATATTCAGAAGCCCAGAAGGACTGGGTGTGATGCAGTGCCCTCTGACTCAGGAATATGCAAGAACCAGTGAGGAAAAAATAACCCACAAGAGGCTGTTCCAAGATTGATATCTTTTTTTTTTTTAACAGAAGAGCAAGTTTACCCAGAAGGCATATTTCACATACACGAATATAAATGTCTGTTGGGTTTTTGAGCATCTTAGCAACTGGTTGACTGAGCTGTTGGTATGGCTGAGCAGGGACATCTTTCGCATATTCATGATGCCCTCACTGGCAACCAAGTTGGAAGTCTCAGGTGTTTAGACAGGACTGCCAATTCATAGATCTTTCCTTGGGGCTCAAAGAAGGTGAAGGCTGGACAGCTGGGCACACACAAGAAGCACGGTTCTCTGTCCTTTGTCCCATAAACTCCTGACAGAGCAGAGCTGGCCCTCTCAAGCCAGTAAGTGCCCTTCCTCCATCCAAACTGGGAAGTGCCAGCCCTGAAAAAAGTCACAGCCTCAGGGGACCTGAGATCCAGTGTCCATTCACCCATTGTCAAACCATGTGTCCACAGGAAAGAGATTCCATCTCACTGTCTCATTATCCCAATCTGTAAAATGGGATAACAATACCCATCCTCTCTCTAACAGACCAGGCTAATGTAAGGAGGAAAGGAAAGGAAAGAGCTTCCTAAAGTCAAAGGCTCATTTCTCCAACTTTTTTTTTTTTTTCTGCTGGCTCTTCCTCATTTAGTCATTGATGGGCCCACGCAGATCCTAGTTCGAGATGTCTCCGACACCGTGGCCTTCGTGGAGTGGACCCCACCTCGAGCCAAAGTCGATTTCATTCTCCTAAAGTACGGCCTGGTGGGTGGGGAAGGCGGGAAAACCACCTTCCGGCTGCAGCCTCCCCTGAGCCAGTACTCGGTGCAGGCCCTGCGGCCGGGCTCCCGATACGAGGTGTGGGTCAGCGCGGTCCGCGGAGCCAACGAGAGCGAGGCCAGCACCACCCAGTTCACAACAGGTGAGGCTGTGAGTGGGGGCGGAGCCAGAGGAGGGGCGAGGGCGCTGTGCCAGCAGGTACCATCGCGACAGGAGGGGCATCCAGGGAGAGAGAGGATGTGTGCGCGGGCATCCACATATATCACGTGCACTGCAAGAGGGAAACCCCTGCAAGAGGTTTCCGGGCGTCCCGGTAAGGTTTCATCACAGGGCGGAGGAGCGCCGGTCACCCGTGGATGGGAGAGCTGGGTTCCTGTCTTGCTTCTGCTACCAGCCAGGTCTGTGACCTGACATAACTCTTCCCCTCTGGTCTCACATCTCTCCTTTGTAAAATGAAACGTCCTGAAGTCACTGACACATCAGAGTTCAGTGACCCCTCCTGGTGACACTTGATTGCTGTCTGCTGGCAATAGTGGTAATGATTCCATAGATCCACAGTGACTACACCAGCACTACGGTGCTGCTTAGAGTTGTGCGAAGCCCATCCGTGTGGAAGCAGGCCTTCTGCCTGAGACTGTTTTACTCATCCTTGTGAGCGCTTGCAAGAGGGCCATCGTACATCTGGCTCCCACAGACCGCAGGCTGAATGAAGCCCATGTCAATGCCTCCTGCCCAGCTGGATGACCAGCCACTCACTTCCCAAGCCTGTCAGGACTTTTAAAGAGACTTGGGAAAGGCCAGACCTCACGACTTGCTCCCTGGCTCTCCTGGAGCCCATCCGGTTGGCCAACTAGTGGACAAGTAGGTCAGGCACATGCAGACACAGGCTCGCCAGCGCTCTTCCCAGGTCAGCACGGGCTGAGATCCAAGAGTGAGTCTCTATCTAATCCAGACTCCATGTCTCGGCCTATCTGCCCTCGGGGGGTCACAGGTCAAGGAATGTCTCTGCCAGCTCCCAAGGTGGCACAGCAATCAAAGGGAACTGCAGGCATCTGTAAGATCTAAGAACCAGCATCTTCTGACAGAATGAAATAGGAGAATCACTAATTCAAGCATCCCACATTAAGTGGTGGCCTAAGAGCCTGTTACAGGATGGGGCAAGTCAGCCAAGGGGCTTCAGGAGAGGCTCAGTAAACAGCACCATTACCCTCTGCCTGTGTTTAAAATCAGCTGATAAATACAGCAGGAAGAGTAAGACAGATGGAGGCCAAAATACCCCCTAGATTGGAACAGGTAGCTTAGTGTTAGAGTCGAATGCGCTTGCCAACTGATGGCCCCTGTGAGTCTGGGCAAGACCCCCATGTGGTAGAAGTTGGGGGCTGCTGAGGTTAGGGCACAGAGGAACAAGCAGAGGCTGATCCCCATGGGCAGAGGGCTCCCTAGAGAGGGGAACCAGAGGGTCGTGCCCAATCTCACCACAAAACTCACCATTGAGGGGAGTCCATCTTCCCCATAGAGGAAAAAGGCTGGGAATCTCATAACAGCTTTCCCTCCACCCCAAAGGAAACACTGGGTTAGGGAGATTTCCCTATTGAAGAGACCAAGTGTGGGCGCTGAGGAAACGGAGAAGTCAGCTGATTCTGAAAGATACCCTCTCAGGCTTTCTCTCCTGCCCTTGTGCTGGATTCCACCCCAGCCAGGGGTCCCTGGTCTGACTTTTTACTGAACACGTTAGGCTCCTCAGTGAGTGTATTTTTAGAATAAAGGAACTACATTCTGCCCATTTCTCTTGACTTCTTTTCCCTCACTCAGCCAAAGCTGCTCAGAGCCTCACACAAGGTCCCTACCTGGTGAATTCAAGGTCAGTCCTGCCCACCCCCAACCTTTGCACCCCCACAGCATGGCCTGCTCAGGTGGTGGGACCTCCAGAGAGCCATGAGTCCTGCATTCTTTTTCAATTTCCAGATAGTTTTTGTGTGAAAAGTGGTTTCTTTGTGGCTGTACTCAGATAAGGAGTTTGAAGAGGCTGAAAAGGAGACAAGAGCTTTCAGGCGGAAGCACGAAAAGGGAATTCTTGATGTTTAGGTTGACGAGATGGAAACAGGACTGGCTGGTGGCCCAGGAAAATTTCAATCAAGACAATTACATTCTGCCTCCTAGAAGCCCCCACCCCCCAACCATGAGTTTCCATTCTTGGCATGATTCTCTGTTTCTGGTTGCTTGGCGGATGGGCAACTGTTAGGTGCCTGCTTTCTGCACGCAGCAGCAGCCTATACCTGCAACCTGCCCTGCTCTGCTCGAGGGGGTGGAGGGTGAGGGGGCCATGGGGGCGGGGAGCTGTGGACAGATTTGCTCACCAGCTCTCAGGGCCAGGAGTTGGCAGGTGCTGTGTAGAATGATGAGAAGGTGCCTGGACCCTCACAGCGGGGCCCTCAGTCATTTTAGAACTCCGCTTAAATTCAAATTAGCCAAAGTGCTTTTCCAGGTGATGGCTTCGACACTAGGAGTGCACTAATTGCACAGGCAATTAAAACAGAGATTTGCTTTCCAAGTGGTGAGCAGGGTATCTGCCTGGGTCTTAGAGCTGCTCGGAAAAAGGAAGGCATTGATGGAAGCCCAGCAAAGCCAGTAGTTAGAGAGAAGGGGTCCAGGGAAACCTGGAGGCCAGTCTCATGAACTTCCCCACTCTCCGTACATAGCTCTGGTTACAGTTGCCCTCATAGGAGTAGTCCTAGGACTCTCCTGGTGAATTTTTTTTTTTATGTGAACCATTTTAAAGTTTTTATCAAATTCCCGGATGGCTCAGCAGATAAAGGATCTGCCTGCAACACAAGAGACACAGATTTGATCCCTGGGTCAGGAAGATCCCCCTGGAGAAGGAAATGGCAACCCACTCCAGTATTCTTGCCTGGGAAACCCCATGGACAGAGGAGGCTGGGGGGCTACAGTCCAAAGGGTCTCAAAGAGTTAGATATGACTAAGTAAAAAGGCATATTAAAATATTGCTTCTGTTTTATGTTTTGGTGTTTTGGCCACAAGACATGTACGTGTGGGGATCGAACCCCACACCCCCTGTATTGGAAGGGGAAATCTTAACCGCTGGACTACCAAGGAAGCTCCTCTTATGGTGGATTCTTCCTCACAGCCCTCGGATTCTCTCTCACAGCCCTCAGAAGGGAGCCAACACCTTGATCTCAGACTTCCAGTTTGTGAGACAATATGTTTCTGTTGTGTAAGCCCAACCAGTCTGTGGCCCTTGGTTGCAGCAGTCCTGGAAACTCATTCAAAGGCCCCACAACAGTTGGAGCTCCCACCTGCTGGGCAGGGAGTATGCTCTGGGATTCCCCAGGAAATGCCTCCACAAGTTCAACCCTGATGGCGCTTGTCAGTCAGCCAGGACCAGCCACCCCCAGTCACAGCTGCAGTTCTTCCTGCACCCCCTCGCCCGAGCATCCTCACAGTCCCCAGCCAGAATATTTAACAAGACTTTCTCGATGGTTTTGAAGGAGCAGACAAGACAGAGAGTGGACAGTATTTGTTTCACCTGTGTTTAAAGAACACCTAGAGGTGCCAAGCACTGGCCTCGGCAGTAAGGCTGCAGAATAAATAAGATAGGCAAGATCCCAGTTCATGTGAGTTATATTCCAGCGAGGGGAACTGGACAAGGGAAAAAAAAGGAACATAAGAATTTATGGGATCGTCTGAATTATGAGGACCATGCTAAAAAATGAAATTAATGATACAGAGGGAATAGTCAGAAGGCAATAGCAACCCACTCCAGTACTCTTGCCTGGAAAATTCCATGGACTGGAGGAGCCTGGAAGGCTGCAGTCCATGGGGTCCCAAAGAGTCGGACACTACTAAGCAACTTCACTTTCACTTTTCACTTTCACGCATTGGAGAAGGAAATAGCAACCCACTCCAGTGTTCTTGCCTGGAGAATCCCAGGGACGGGGGAGCCTGGTGGGCTGCCGTCTATGGGGTCACACAGAGTTGGACACGACTGAAGCGACTTAGCAGCAGCAGCAGCAGCAGTCAGAAAAGTCTCTCTGAGGGGCTGAGGTTTGAATCAAGACCTAAGTGACCTCATGGGGGGCTTCCCAGGTGGCTCAGTGATAAAGAATCTGCCTGACAATGCAGGAGCTGCAGAAGACTCGGGTTTGCTCCCCTGGAGAAGGAAATGGCAACCCACTCCAGTATTCTTGCCTGGGAAATCCCATAGAGGAGCCTGGTGGGCTACAGGCCATGGAGTCGCCAAAGAGTCGGACGAAACTTAATGACTAAACACCAACAGCAAAGTGACCTCAGCCATGTGAGGGTCTGGGAAGAGCGTTCTCAACAGAAGAAGCAGTCAGCGCAGAGCCCAGAGGTGAGAATAAGCTGGAAAGAGTCAGGAGGAGGAAAAAGGCAGTGCAGCTGGAGCACAGAGAATAAGGGAAGAACGCTCCAAGGTGCCACCTGAGAAGCAGGCAGGGCCAGGCCACGCCGAGCCCTGTGGACCTCCATGCAGTTCAGTTCAGTCACTCAGTCGTGTCCAGCTCTTTGCAACCCCAGGGACTGCCGCATGCCAGGCTTCCTGTCCATCACCGACTAATGGTGGGCCACCGTTAGGAGCTTGTAATAGGAAGCAATGGAAAAATTTCAGCCTAAGTACTTGATCTAATTTATGTTTCAAGATGAGAGTCCACAGTCCCAGCCCCTCCCCAGGGCCTCTATACTGAGCATCTGATCTTGCCTTGCACCTGGTTTGCTGCTGTGTTGCAGAGACCAGCCCAGCTCCCTTCAGCTGGCCCTCCTGGAGGTCAAGCTCCAAGACCTAGGGGGAGCAAACCGTTTCACTCCACTCTAGTCCTAAGACACCCCCCTTCTCCAGTCCTCATTCCCAGGATTGATCTCTCTGGGGATCACTGACATTGGAAATGTCCAGTCCCTTCAGAAGAAACACTGCTGCCTATCCACAGGGCATAGACCCTAAGGCCCAAAAACGCAGAAAAGAAAACCATAGTTTACCATTTCCAAAAAACTATAGTCTACCATTTCCAAAGTCTTTAATTGTGAAGAGCAGTAGGTAAATAAGAGACTCAACCTGGACCCTAAGTGAATTTTTTTTTGCTCCAGTTCCTTGCAGCCCACACCCCCAAGCCCCACCCAGTCCTCCGCCAGGCTCTCTTCCCCCACACCCCCCACCCCCTCGCCAGAAAGATTGAGGGATGTGAGATTTAGGGACCTGCAGCCCAGAGCATTCCTCCCACATGCCGCTCTACTCAAGCTCCTTTCTCCATACAATTGCTGGAGAAATTACACACACAGCACGTGCAGAATGCATGGTTTCCCGCATGCTAAACCCACACTGAGTAAGGAAACATTTCTCAGAAAAATAAGCTGCAGAGGCATAAATCTGCTAAGAGATTCACCCAATTTACATCCCTAAACAGAACACTTCTCACTCTGCAGCAGCTGCGCTCAGACTGATTCACAACGTCCCATCTTCCGAAAGAACAATCGGTGGAGACTTGCCTGGCATTTACAAAGTGAAACAGTCCACTTGAGGTTTTCCCAGAACTAATGGCTGGTCCACTCCAAAGTTAAGTTCAAGTCTCAAAGTCAAGACCTAGTTAGAACTTTTTAAGTGGCAGTTTGTCAAGACAGTACCTTCTTACCCTGTAAATTGTTTTATGTTGTTTCTGCCCAAATAAGCCTGCCAGAATGACTAGTCCTGGGAGAGAGAACCAGCCCAGAGTTGAGGGAGAGACCCCAATGCCAGAGGTCTTTTCATTACTGTGGAGTTCTTGGAACTCCAGGGAGCAGGCATGGGGTGCCAGGCTGTTAGAACTCAGGGAGAATTGTGGAAGCACCAGTAAGTCAGCCCAGGGCTTGGACACCTAATTTTGTACCAGTCCCCAAACTGCACACTTCCATATGCATTGTCTCATCTTTACAACTAGCAAAGCAGTATTGTTGGCCCATCTTACAGATGTGACCATCAAGGCCCAGCCTATGGTCCCATTACATTAAGAATTAGAAGTGGGATCAAACTGAGACCTGACTCCAAAGGTGACTGATTTCCACTATATCACATACCCTCTCTCTGTGCAAACCTTTCAGCATGTCTATGCACGTAAATCCAAGGGAAGACATCTTATACTTCAGTCTTGCAACCAATCCTCTGTTTTGTTGCTTGGTGATCAAATTTGAAATTATACTCTTTCATCTCAATCACTTGGGTGCCATCTCTGATTTCATCCTTCCAGGAATTCCCTTAGTCTCAGGCTTATGATACTAACTAGTTCATTTTTCAATTTCTAGAACACCAGTAGAACAAACTCCTGAATGAGAATGGGGGACGTGTAAAGTGTATTTATGTCTAACTACCAAATAAAACTCTCCATGGAATCTATCATGGCCAATCTGGCAGACCAAAAGCTAAGGGGCAACACCTGGGGTTCACTCAAACAAAAGGCAGAGGGTGAGATGTGGGCTCTCACCCCAGAGCCTGTTCAAGTTCAAGATGCACGGCAAATGCCCATTATCCTGTGTGATGTTGGTGATGTCTTTTTTTTTAAGAGATTGATGCCCCCAAGAACCTGCGGGTTGGTTCCCGCACAGCAACCAGCCTTGACCTGGAGTGGGACAACAGTGAGGCAGAGGTTCAGGAGTACAAGGTTGAGTACAGCACCTTGGCGGGCGAGCAGTACCATGAGCTGCTGGTCCCCAAAAGCATCGGACCAACCAGCAGAGCCACGCTCACCGGTGAGTAAGCCCTGGCTCCTGGGGGCACGGCAGCTCCTGAGCTCCTCTCAGCCCTCTCTCCAGCCCTGCAAGCCCACATCCAACCATTGCCAAATCCCTCTGATATAATCCACCAAGTACCTATGGCATGTATCTACTGTTCTCCATTGCACTGCCATCCCCTGGTCTAAGCTACTGTCACGTCTTGTCTCCACCACTGCAATAACCCCCCATTCTCTCCTGGTCCCTCCGTTGTCCTCTTCACTCCACCAGTGATCTTTTCAAAGTACATTTCCCATCCTATTGTGCATCCATTTCAAGGACTTCAATTGCTTTTGTGATAAACTCCAAACCGTCCCATGGCCTTGGTTTCCCTACCATCTTCTCCAGTCTCCTCCATCTCCCATATCTCCTGGTGCTCTCGCTGTTCCAGGCCAACAGGCCTACTTTTTTTAGTTCCTCAAACACCCTCCTGCCCCAGGGCTTGGCACATGCCATTCCCTCTGCTTATCAGGCTCTCTCCCCCCACAACACCTCATGATGGCAGCTTCCCTTCCTGCTCTCAGGTCACCTGTCACTTCTCTGGAACCCTGGCTGGTTCCCAGGTGAGGTCAGGTCATCCTGCTTGCTGGTGACCCCTCACCTCACAGCACTTCTCAAGTTATCCTTGTGCGCTTGTGGGTATGATTATTAAGTTGTTAATCTCCACCTTATACTGAAGCTCTGTGAAAGGGGGATCATGTCTGGTTTTGATCACCATGATTCCTCAGCATCTAGCACAACATCTAGCACTTACTAGGTCCTGGATAAGTGGTGAATAAATGGATAAATGCATGCATGAATGAATGAGAGCAACTGCACACAGGCTACAAGAAGCCAGGGATAAGTTGATAAATTAAGAGCCTGGTCATGCCTTCTGCACCCTGTAAAGAGTGTGAGTGAGGAGCTGTTGAAAGGTCTCAAATAGGTGATGCAATGCAGATTCATCCAGCTACAGTGGAGAACAGACAGGAGGAGGGCAAGGTCAGAGGCAGAACGTGGTCAGGAGGCTGTTTGGAGCCAAAGGGAGAGATAATGGTGGTGTGAACTAACACGATGCCCCAGGTCACCATGATGCTTGACTGGGGAGCATTCCGTGTCCCCATGGGGATGTGGAGCCCAACTAGTGCTCTTCCTGGGCCTTAGACACACCCATCCAGGAAAACCTACCTGCTAGGCTTTGCTGAAAGGTAGAAGGCTGGAAATGGGGGGACAGTTTTTAGATGGAGAGTGTGCAAAACAGCCATGGACCAGAGGCCAGTAGTGTGCTCACAGACTGTTTATCCTGTGTCTTGGCTTCTCGCAAAAGCATTTGTCATCTCGGTAGACAAGGGATCCACAGCAAAGAGTGCGGAGAGTAAACAAGGGCAGGATAATCAAAGCTGTTTTCCTCCTGAACTGAAATCCCAGAGCACCTTGCCAAATGAGGCTAGTTAAAGTAAATATAATAAATGCTTTTTCCAGACAGACTCACTTCTGAAAACACAGCAAGGAGATGGAAATATATGCTGACCAAGCAGGTTAATGGGGGTGAATTAAACATAGCAGGAACAGACCAGCTGGCGTAGGGCCTTTCCAGAGAGCTGGAGACATTCACAAAAATTAAGCTAAACAAAAAAACCTGCAATGATACAAGAGGGAACTGGTTCTAGGCACAGTGTATCCCTGCCCAGAGCCGCAGGCTGATTTGGCAATTAGCAGTTTTACAAAGATGATGGCTTGATGTTCGGATGGAGGATACACTATAAAATCATGGGATATAGAGAAGAACTCACTCATATCCTAGTTATTATTTCCCATTACCGGAAACAAAGAAGATTCTGCATTCATTGGTCATCTGTTATTCCAGGCACCTTCACATAGTTTTAGCTTATTTCATCTTCACAACAAGACTCATGAGGGACATGAGAATGAAAATATTGCCTGCCATATCAGTCAACTAAGGTGCCACAGCCATCAGCCATCACATTACAGCCACCCCAGTCATTGTTCCCATTTTACAGATAAGGAAACTGAGGCAGGGAGTTTGGAAACTTGCCCTTGTTCCCAAAACTAGCAAGGGAGCAATGAAAGGCAGTTGTGAAGCCTAGTCAAAAGCCCCCATCCATTTTCATGGCTGCTCTTACTAAAGAAGCAAGAGTGAAGGAAGGGTCAAAATTTAAATGTTGCAGACTTCCAAGGAAGGGGAAGATTATTATCGAGGAGTGAGTGCAGAGATGTTGGTTTTTTATTTGAGTTTGGCTTATGAAATAAAACTATAAATATATATTACATATAATTATCCCAGGGAGCTCACTGCTGGGAAGATTTATAAAGGCAAATAGCCTTATGTGATTTAAAAAGGGATTATAGGCATGTAAGGAAATCAAGTATGTCTGTACTTGCTGAGATGCCGATTACAAGGATCACTGGCGCTCTTTCTGTGGTGTCTGAGGAAAGAGAAGGAAGGACCCTGCTGGAGGCAAGGCCAAAAGAGGGAGAAGTTTGATCCCAGCTCTTAATAGTTGTGTTTTCTCCCTCACTGTCCTACCTGGATGCTAAAAAGGAGAGTTTTTCAGCTCCCAAGACTTGTTTTGGGATTTTTTTGTTGTTGTTGTTCAGTTTTCTCGTTTTTGGTTCCCAGCAAGGTGTTTGCTTGTATATATAAAACAGGATTCTGAACTCAGTGGGAAGGACAATTCCAGGCTCATCTGAAGCAATTCCTCTCTGGCCAGAAAGTGCAGGAAGCACTAGAAATTTCAGCTCTGCCCATCCCCACCCTCTCTATCCCTTAGCCAAAAACAACTGCAACCCTAACAGAAGGTACCATCTCTCCTGCCCCATTTTATTTGAGTGCTCAGTTCCTTGGGACATGTTAAGAGCTAAGACTCTAAACTCTGTGTGTGTGTGTTAGTCACACAGTCATATCCAACTCTTTGCAACCCCATGGATTGCAGCCCACCAGGCTCCTCTGTCCATGGGATTCTCCAGCCAAGAATACTGGAGTAGGTAGCCATTCCCATCTTCAGGAGATCTTCCCAACCCAGGATCAAACCCAGGTCTCCTACATTACAGGCAGATTCTTTACCATCTATGCCACCAGGGAAGTCCTAAGACTCTATATCTAGGCTCAACTACATCCTATGTGGTTTGAAGCCATTGACATGACCTTTCTAAGCCTCTGTTTCATCGTAGGTAAAAGAGGAATGTTGCCACCTGCCTCATAGGATTTGATGGGGCTTTAATGAGATCATGAACTTAATGAGTTTAAGGCCGTTCTTCTAATACAGCAAAGCACTCAATACTCAGGTGATGGCAATGATGAAGATGAATAAGGAGGCAGAGGAGGAGGCCTAGAGTTAAGAGATGGTTTGGAATGACACCCTGTATAAGTATGGCACAGAGCAGATTCCCAGCTTCTCAAAGTGGGGCGTGTGGGGGGACCTGTGGCAATGGCATCACCTTGGGAAGTGTCAGAGTCCTCTCCACCTAGATCTATAGAGTCAGAGTCTGCATTTTAAAAGCTCCTTGGGGATCTGTGTGCACATTAATGGGCAAGAAGCACCCAGTTTGAGCATGGCTTCTTCTTTTTAAGATTACCAAGTTTTCATCACTGCCTTTTTATTTTTTATTAATTTTTATTGGAGTATAATTGCTTTACAATGTTGTGTTAGTTTCTACTGTATAGCAAAGTGAACCAGCTTTATGGAAAGAAATGGATAAAGAATATGTGGTGCATATAACAATGGAATATTACTCAGCCATAAAAAGGAATACCTAGAGTGTGGTTTTTTAAATCACCCACTCAGGCTTGAGACCAACTTCATTGATGTGTGTCTGGCAAATTGCTTCAATTTCTGTGTTTCTGCTTCCTGGCCCAAAGGACATCAGGTCTACCTCACAGGTTGTTTTGAGGATTCAGTGAAATCGTATTTATTTATGTATCTGAGCATTGGTACATAACAAACTTTCAGCGGCTATTTAACCTTTTATCATTTTTAATCCCTACAAAGCTCAGCCTGGGTCCCTTGCAACCTGGCCTCTCCCGAGCACAAGTTCACACGCCCTTTACTCTCAGAGTTAGGTGACTCCAAGTCCCTCAAGTTCTGTGGCATCTGTACTGGATTCTCTTTGCAGAAGCCCTTGTCTCTGCAGCCACCGCCTACCCCTTTACTGTGGAACAGAGGCCTTCCTGACTCCAGGGATCAGAGTCACACAGAGAGCTCACAGCACCTCCCCACCCCACCTCCCCCATCACATACCTCCCCCTTTGCAATGCAGAGGCCAGGCTGGGGCACAGAATACCAAACCTTTCTTCTGCGTTGTTCTTTCTAGGCAATACCCAGCAACTTCCCTCTGCAGTATGAATTTGTTTCTCAACAACAGACTCCATGTCTACAATGATCTTTCTCTCTGCTCTGGTAGCTTCTGTGTCTTTAATGATGTCTTTTTCTGTAGGCTCAGCCTCCCAGCCTGGGGCGCTTCCCAGTGATTAAAAAAACCCGCCTGCCAATGCAGGAGACATAAGAAATAGGCGTTCGATCCCTGGGTTGGGAAGATCCCCTGGAGGAGGGCGTGGCAACCCATTCTGTTCTTGCCTAGAGAATCCCATGGACAGAGAAGCCTGGCAGGCTACAGTCCATGGGGTCAGACACAACTGAAGCTATGTCTGCTTGGCCTGTGTTCCATACCTTGAGTCCCAAAGGGGTCCCTGAGTGTTATATACCTTTACAGGCTCACCACTCACTGACTTCCCTCTAGGTTAGAACTGGCAGCAGGTAGCGGGGACTGGCACCACCACTGTTTTCTGAATAGCAGTGACAAACCATAAACTATAGAGAAGACTCCTAGTGGAAGGAGAGTGGGAGGAAGTGAGGAAGTGGGGGTAGGGGAAGGAAGGAGATCCTCATTCTTTGACTGGACTTTGGTTAAAACAACAACAACAATAAAACCCTGCCTGAGATTGATGCAGATTATAAACACTGCTCGGGCCTGTGTCTGAG